CAGCACAGTGTGGAGTTGAGCAGTGTACAGACTTTACAACCCCAGCTGACCATCCTGGCTCTTGCTTACATATGTGTTCCCTTGACTGTTGGGCTTTCCAGAGTTCTAGTCTATGCAGACTTTCCTTATTCCACAAGGGCCTCCTGGGAAATCACATTTCCTCCCTTCAGCTGAATTAATGCACACTCTTACCCCAGTGACTCTCAAAATTGCATCCCTTTCCTCCCAAGCTTACTATATTCCTGAGCCCATATCCTCTCCACCCGAATGCCCAAGTAACACTCAACAGAATTTCTCTGTTCTTCAGATTTTTCCCTGTTACTTATTTTCACTATCTACATTACCCTATCAAGTTGACAAAACAGGACATTCACCATCCTTTCTTACTCCCTAAATGCAAAGCAGATTGGTCCTTCTTACATCAGACCTGTACTGTTATTAAACTTTTTTTTATATATGCACTAGCTCTCTAACTAGAACAGGGAACTCAGCTTTGTGGCCTTATAACTATTCCCCCGAAAGCTGTTATTGTGTAATGCTTCCCTTAATCTCCCTTATAGAATCTATAATAGGGATTGACATGCAGAGTTCAGTAGAGAAAACACCATTCTCTTCCACTAATTTAATCAGCATATATCATTTAACTACAGGCTATTACTGTAGGGAATCCTGAGTTGAGACCGCTTGGATTTTGGCATCACTAGGCAATTATTTATCCCTATTTTGCCTATGAGGATACTGAGATGCGGAGATGGGGATGCTAACACTTCCCTGGTGGAGGCCAAATTCTGAAATCTGGAAAAGCAACCCTAATCCTTGCAATCTGGCTTCTATTCCTATCAGACAAAGCTGCTTTTGCTATCATATGCACCATCCGATTGTCAGGTTGTCTTTCAGTGTCCAAGCTCGACTCTGCCGTACCTCGGTCACACCCCTCTGGGAAACATCCTACTGCTTTCCCTGTATTGGCCAGTTCACTTTCTCCCCTTTGGTCATGTGTTCCTGTCCCACGGCTCCACCCTACACCCTCCTTAGTGCTTTAAAAAGGGGAGTGCTCAGCATCACAGATCTACATCTCCTGGTCCCCGTAACTACCTGCTTGGTTTCTTGAACTATTTGTCCCATGGGAGACCCCCAAATTAGTATGTCCAGATAGGACTCATTTATCCCCTAAACGAATTCTCCTATAGGTTGGTTTGACTCCCAGGTATCAGAGGTGGGTCACAGCCCAGACTGCGATGCACAGCTGGTAGATGCACGCCCCTGGCCCTGCTCTCTCCTCACTGTTTCTCCATCCAAGATCCTCACGTGGGCTCCATGAACACTCATCCTACCTTCTAGAACAGCCTCTTCTAGCTCCTGAGGACCAACCTGTCCTGAGTCATTAGGGTGGTGAGGTTGCATCGTGTTAGTCCCCCAAGACTGGGCATTTGCTGAAGTAGTGTACCCTGACTTATTAACTAGGCAATGAAATAGGAAATGCATTTCAACTTTTAGTTCCATTTCTCTCCCCAACTGGTCAATTAACTGGGGTAGGTTTGATTCAGACATAGTTCTGCCAGTTCTCTCACGCTTCCCTTCAACCATGCCAAATGGGAAAGTGTCAAGGGAGTTTGGGCCTGCTCACTACTAAGTGATAACTCAAAGCCAGCAAGTTATGTCAGTTGCAAAAAAGTTATGAAAAATTCTGTTTCAAAGGTCAAAGTAACCCCTGAGGGTTAAACTTAAGAAAAAAAAATCTAATTGTCTGATTTGATTAGAAACTGGAAAGAGCTGAGGGAATTCTATTTTCTTCTTGAACAACATGACATTTTTATCAGCTGGGTAAATGTTTTCATGACTGAACTTGTCATTTTCCCATTTGCCACCCCCAAGGTTGGTATATTTGGAGGGCAAGGTAAGCTTTGTACATAAAGGAAATGCCCTAATTAAATAGTTAAAACTTCACTCTCCAGATATTTGTAAATTTAAAACTGGGGGAAGATTTAAATTTAGGGGAATATTTAAAATTGGGGGAATTCTCAAGAACTTTTTACATTTTTTCTGGTGGAACTGAGATGGTTTTTAGAGCCTGTTTAATCACAGTCCCTGAGTTCAACCGAGGCTCAGTCTTTCACTCCTGGGAATTCTAAGAACATCATATTTCTTAACTGGCAGCTGAGATTCTGGAGGTACAACCTAATGACCTGGGGCTAAAGGAAGATCAACAAAAGCTACACAGGGCTTCTGATTATTGGACAAGTTCCTTAAAGTTCATAACTAGAAATTTTTTGTTTGCTAATCCCAATTCTGAAAGATTTGCTTTACTAAAACAGAGAGCATGAAGAGTGAGAGTTTCTAAATGGTAGCGGCCTATTTGGTAAATGACCCAATGATATCTTTATAGATGGAATTAAATTAAAATTGGGAGGAGTAGTTTTTTTCATTTTCCTAAACTTGAAACACCAACCATAATCATTCATTAAGTATAGTGAAGTTTCCTTACCTACGGTTGAGAAAAGTATTTTCTGTATTAAAGTTAAAATTTTAAAAACATGTAAAGACAAACTCAAGAAAGTTATACTACTACTAATTAATATTTACTAAGCACTTTGACTATGTTTATTTACATTGTTTCCACAGTTATGATGACAACACATATATATCTAAGTATGGTTTAACAAAAACTCTTGATGCTGTTGTTGGGGAGAAACTGGGCTAGGCCCATTTGCCTTAGCTTCCAAAGGCTGGATTTTTTCTTTTCCAGAATTCTTATTTTAATGCAATTAGCAGTGTATCTTCATGATTGCTTGTTTGAAAATGTAATCCTATGTCTAAGATTTGGAGCCCAAAAGAAGTAGACTGCACCAACTTTTATAAGCTTTACATCTATTTCTTGACCTTTATACTATTTCTCTAATAGAGGTCACAAATGGAAGGTCCTGGGATAAAAGTAACCTACAAATATGTGAGGCTGGGCCTGTGTGTTGTTGCCTTTCACATTAAAAAAAAAAATTATCCTCTAAGATTTAAAAGTTAGGGAATTTCATTTTTGACTTCCATATCTTCTTGAAAAATACAGCAAGCTCATTAACAATAGGCCCAAATTCCCACAGGGCAGCAATGAGCTCAGGGGCTGGCCGGCCCTTGCTGCTGGCTCACCACTTCCTCCTCACGGTCCCCAGAGACCCAAGCCGAAGTTGGTTGCAGTTCATCACACTACTCATGAAGTGGTTTGTCCTCACCCACCCACTTCCTTCACATTACTTTACCAGCCAGCTTCCTGGGGTATTTGAGTTTGCAGCTCAAATTATATCCTTAACTGTAAACATAATAGCGAACCTTCTACTGCTTAGTAGGGACAGATGCTATTTTAAGTATTTAACATGCATTAACTCATTTAATCTTCAGAATAACCCTAGACAATGAATACTATTAGCATCTCCATTTTATGGAAAAGGAAACTGAGATATCATGAAGCTGAGAACTCACCCAGGCAACACACATTTTGTCTGTAGGGGTATCGGCAGGCCCAGTCTGGAACGTGAGAACCTAACCATTAGGACTTATTTCCACATGTAGTGGAAGGCTCTTCACATCAATAGTGTCCATTCAGTTCTGTCCAATACGTCTCAAAAAGAGTGTCTAATGAGTGCTAATTTCTTCTTCGAAACACCTAAACATCAAAATTTTAGGTCCAGATTGGAGCTTAAGTAGCTTTTTATTTTAAGTCTGTGGCACGTGATTAGATAAGCTGCCCCTTCTGTAAGGCTAGTTACTCTGTCAGAAACCGCTATTACAAAATGACACAGGGATGGCTACAAGTACAAAGGCCTCTCTGGTGCTGTGCTGATTGTGGAGCAGTCCCAGTTTCAAGAACCTGTCTTACTCCTTTTTAGAGTTAGACTTATTTTGGTATTTGCAAGCATATGAAACAAGCAAAATGCTTAATAAAAATTACCATAAATATGTATGGCAAATATCTATCTTATTCTAAACAAGTACCAACCACTAACTTCAACTTTTCATTACCAAGCTAAATTCCTCATTTCATGTTGATGACCAAAAAAAAAATACAGTGCTGATCTTCTTATCTCATATCTCAAAATCCCAGGAATGTTAAGCTATTTCACTCTGCTCAAGAATGGACTTGGAACAGTGAAAGTTCTCTTCCATGGACATGACATAATCCGCAAAAATTTCACCAGAGATGAACCCTTCAAATCAGTATGTCCTTTCAGTGTTTTGCCTTCTGTTTTGATCTAAGACTTAAAAATGATAATAAACAATTCACACTTCACACATACTATTTAATTTAATCCAAATGTCAATTCAATGATACAGGTTTATTATCCCCACCTTACTATAAGGATTTGAACCAAGGCCCATCTTATACTTGTATTATGGTTTATTCTACTACCCCACTACCATCCCATAATGCCTCCTAGGTGCTGATTAAGTCACTGCTCCAGAAGGCTTCTAAGTACCCAGTGCTCTACTGGACAGGGTCTGCTCTGGAAAACCAACAGTCCTTCAAGGGCCCGAGGTTGACAGGATCACCCACCTGAGAGGCACACGCAATACAAAGCCCAATAATGAACATAAGAAATGCAAATCGCCAGCACATAATCAGTTGGAAGCACACTCCGAAGCTGAATTAGTTCTTTTCAAATGGGACAGACACATGCTGACCCAATTAGGAGTCCAAAGGATTTTGGAAAGGATGAAAGGAATAATCTGAGACTCTATGCAGGAATACTCGTAAGACAGAGTTGTGAATTCTTAGTAAGTTCTGGAAGATGCTGGAAAATACAACTGCATCTCATGCAAACATTTATTTCAACACATCATCGTTCCCATTTTCTAGTCTAACAAAGCAGGACCATTAATTCGTTTGAAACGTGAAAACCTTCTTCCAGTTACACATCAGGCACCGCATCAGGAATTTAGGTGAAAAGCAGAGTGCTCAGTCTAGTAGAGGGCAATGGAAAAGTGCTGAACGGGCATCTCTGGCAACTTACAGAACTGTGGTCTGATGCGGCACCTGAGGAACGTGATCCAGCATCAAGTGCACACAGCGAACGGTGCTCTTCAAGCAAAGGCACCGGCTAGGGCAGGGCAGCACTGGCAGGCACCACACGACCAGGAGAAAGCAAGCGGTCCAGCAGGAGAGTCTGGACTCCATCGCTCCATTCGCTGCTGGAAGCCAAGAAGCAGGAGCAGCAGCAGCAGCGGTGGTGGCGACGGAGGCGGCGGCTGCGGTGCGGGACCTGCCGCGCGCTGCGGAGCCCGGCTTGGGAGCCCCGGCTAAGGGCCGCTCCGGGGGGAACTCAGCCTCTGACCAATCCAGGAGCAGGGAGATCACATTACAGGGCGGAGGGCACCCGCCGCCTCTAGGGGGCGCTGGACTCGGGACGCGGAGAAGCTAGTCCAGGCAAAAGCCATTTCAGGAAACAAACGCACTCTATTGGGCAGCATAATGCAAATATAAACTTTTCCAAAGTTGCTTCCACTTTACATGTTATGTAAGCGCCAGCCTCTTATTAGCCCCTAGCTGTCCTTTTTTTCTACCCCGGCTGTCCTTCTGAAGCGCAAGTTGATTATTTATTGAATCGATGGAGAATAGCTTTTCTTTTTATCTGGCAGTTATTACCAAATCCTTAAGGGCAGAGTTCTAATTAGTTGATCTGGGCTCACATTTTCCTTCCCGGCTCCAAAACAGGCTTTTAAAAAATGGTTTCCTTTCTTCCTATATATTCTACACCTCAAGCCCAAAGCATTTCACTCACGAGATTCAAACCAGCTACTTCGATTTCTTCCTTTAATATTTAAGGCTGTTATGTCTACACCATGAACTCCTACACCACCATGCAGAGGAGGCAAACTGATAGACAAACGTATCTGTAAAGTAGAACAAGGCCGAGCCACCGCTGGGCTCAGTGGCAGCACCACTGGCTGAAGACACATTCTTTACCAGGTTTAATTAGCCACGGGTCACTGAGTTGAGTGGCCCTGAGGACACTGGCAAAGACAGACTTCAATAAATATGCTTTAAACGATTTTTTGGTTACTCTAAGCAGGTGTTTAGAAAAGGTTTATGGTTTTATCCTTAAAGCCTAAAATTCTCAAACAAATCTTATCCCTAAACTAGAACTTTAAAAAATGCAAAAAAGCAAATTAAAATTTGGGATGGTCCAATCTAGGCAACTCCCAGATGACCAGACTGGGAGACAAATCTAATGATTACAGATCTAGTTTTGTCAAAGCTTATCAACCTTATAAAGAAAAATAAATTCATTTTCCTTCCAGTAATTTTTCAGTCCTCTTACATTCTACAGTGGGTGAATACTGCCCTCTTTTGGCAAAATGTTAAAACTTAAATATGTGGGGTTTTTATTAATTAAAATGCACAGATCACAAGAAAAAATACTATGAAGAATGATTTTAAAATAAACCAAGTATGCTTGACAATTGTTCATGTTTACTTTATTGTCTAAATATCAAAATAAACTCTAAAAAAAGCTAATTTCTTCTTTTCAGTTCCATGCCTTACAATTACTGTTTCTGCCGATGCTTGTGACTTGGAGGACTTGGATGGACAAGGCATGTAAGTCTGCACATTGCTTTCAGTTCAAAACATATTAGCTTGTATTCATACAGCACTTTCTAGGAGAGACTACACTCTACTGAGAAACCCAAGCTCCAATAAATGAGAAAATTCTACTGATTCCTCCTGTGAATACAGGGTTAAGAACTATAAGGAAGGCACAGAGAACCACATGAGTGACACAGCTACTATAGACTGTAGATTCTTTCCTCAAATGCCTCAGGACAACTTTCCTGCAGAAAAGTATTATTATATATGTTAAGTATTATAAACATTTTAAAAAATGCATCAAGGTGCTAAGTTAAACATGTATACAAGAGTCCAAAACTGAAGAAAAAATGAGAAGCTGGCAATGTAAGTAAACACTGAAGGCTGGTTCAGCTTGAAGAGTACTTGCTTAACCAAGTAAAATAGATAGATTTGGGGGTATCAGAGTTACAGGAGCGAGAAGAAAAAGCCTTTTCCTAAGTGGAGGGTCTTAACTGGAAAACCTGAATTTTTTCAAGTTCATTAAGGATGAACTAGAAATCCACTTCACCCTGTCCCCATCCAACCAGAGAACACAAATAAAACTGCCTATTTCAAACTTGCTATGGGAAGGAAGGGAATAAAAAAATCTCCCTGGAGATGTACTATTCCCAAATTAGCTTTTAAAGTAAAAATTTAAAAAGATACACTAGGTGACCAGCACCCCCCCAATGCTATAGGAGTATCAAACCAAATGGACTTTGAAGTAAAGGATAGATACAAATAGGGGTCCTACGTAATGTTAAAGGTTCAAATCACCAGACAGACATAAAAAACCTAGAGTGTAGCATCACTGCATCAAATACACAAAGGAAAAACTGGAAGAACTACAATGAACTGACATTCTACCATCAAAGTGAGAGATTTTGCTGAAATTCACAAAAGCATACCAAAAAAATGTTTAAAAGTATTAGATTCAAATACAATAAAAAATTTGATTCAAATTACATTTACAGAATACTATACTGAAGAACAGAATACATATTCTTTCAAAGCACACCAAGCCATTTATTAAAAATGACTATATCCGGGCAATAAAACAAGAAATAAGGTTCCTGTTCACCACTTCCACTGAACACTGTACTGGAGGTCCCAACCAACATATCTGACCAAAAACAAAAACAAAATGAACAAAAACAAAAACAAACACAAACAAACCCAAAGGAAAAAATAAACCATCTTTATAAAGATGGTTGTCTATGTAGAAAATTTAGAACAATCTCAAGACAGTGGGATTTAAGTCATATATAAAAATCAATAATGGAGCAAAGTGTGATTTTAACAATACAACAGCATTGAAAAAATATAAAATATCTAAACATAAATCAAAAGATGCTTCAAACAAAATTGTGTACCTTTATTAAGACATTTAATAAGATCTAAATAAAAGAGAGAAGTACTCTATTCGTGGATTGGAAGACACTGCATCATATAAACATGTTCTCACACAAGCTGATCTATAAACTCAGTAATTCCAAGTGAAATCCCAAGAGGACTGTGTATCAGTAGTCTGAGAAACTGATTCTAAAATGTGTTTCAAAGTCAAACGGTCCAAGAATAGCCAAGAAATTCCTGAAATTTAAATTGAAAGGACTTATTTACTAGATCAAGAATTATTATAAATCTATAGTAAATAAGACTGTGTAGTTTTAACACAGGGATCCATAAACTAACAAAATAGAAAAGAAAACCTAGACACAAAGAAATAGATACATAAATTTATGACAGTTAATACTGCAGATCAGAGGAAGAAAATGAGACTTTTCAAAAAATGGTGTTGAAACAGTTGATCAACAAAGTAAGAAAAAATAAAGTATTATGAGGGTGGTGGGGTTATGGACATTGGGGAGCGTATGTGCTATGGTGAGTGCTGTGAAGTGTGTAAACCTGGCGATTCACAGACCTGTACCCATGGGGCTAATAATACATTATATGTTAATTAAAAAAAATTAATAAAAAAAGAAAGTATTATTTCTCACTTTACACAAAGATCAATAGCAAGTGTACTACAGACTTAAATGTGAAAGACAAAAATCACAGAACTTTTGTAAGAAAATATAGGCTAATATTTTCATATTATTTTTCAAAATATATTTTCAATATATTTTCATATTCATCTTCACACAACTGAGGTTGTGTGAAGATGAATCTAACACAATTAAAATTGAAAAATCTAATTCAAGAAAGACACTACAAACAAAATGAGAACAGAAACCACAAACTAATGAAAGATATTTGCAATACACATAACTGACAATGGGTTAATAGCCAGACTACAAAAGGAACCCTACAAGTCAATTTCTTTAAAAGAAACTAAGGAATAAAACATTTCAAAAACATTTCAAAAAGTTACTGGGAACTTTACAGAAAGGAAACTTAAAACCAAAAAAACACTCAAAAAGGTACAAAACCCCCTTAATAAGTAACAAAGCCCCTCTAACACTTCATACTACTAAATAGGCAAAATCACTATTAAATATAGGTTAGGTTAAGCAGTAACTGGAACGTTTAAACTCTGCAGGAAGGAACATACTGTTAACACTATGTTGGGAAATAAATTTGCACCACCTTGTAAAAGTGAATATAAACTTATTCTATGATCCAGGAATTCTACACCTAGATGTACAGTCTATGAAGAGTCTTGCACACATACAGTCACAAGACATGTTTAAGAATGTTGACAAGCAAAGTATCTTATGTAACATCAAATGTCCATCAACAGTATAATGATTAATTAAATTGAGTTGTGGATACAATGTAACTATTTACAAAACAGAGCAATCTCAGAAAAGGCAACATGAAGTGAAAAAATAACCTGCAGAATACACAGAGTATGATTCCATTAATATAAAGTTAAGTATGTATGAAGCCAAGTGACTTATTCTTGAGAGATACAAACATGTGTGCTAAAGCTACAGCAAAAGGCAAGGTTATGATAAACACAAAAGGAACACCCCAGAGAGGAATTAAGAGGAGATTAGGAAGGGGAACACAAGTCATGGTAATGCCAGTAGTCAAAGCTAGCTGTAGGTACACACATGTACTTACAGGTACACTGAATTACTTATTCCTTGTGTTCTGCATATATCTTCTAAATATTCTTCATATCTACTGAATATAAAAATAAATTTAAAAAAAATCTACACTGTCTTCAGAAGTGTCAACAGTCAAAGGAAATGAGATGTCTGAATACAGACAACTATATACAATACTTCAAGCATATAGTCATAGATGCATTGGGATTTTCTAAATTAAAAAGAAAAGAAAGCCAGGCCACTGGAGAACAAAATTTAATTACTATGCTACTGTTTATTTAAAATAGTTTTCCAAGACCTTACCATGATTTCAGGCTTTGCACTTCATTTGTATCCTCTCAAACAGCTAGAAATCAACATTTAACAATTTTTGTATTTTAACCATTATGTATGCTATTTTAATGACATTTTTTTCTTTACTAAAACTAGAACCTAATGTGTGAACCAATATGAGATATAGATTTAAATAATCTTCTTGGTAGTCGTGGTGCTGCTGAAGCTTTCTTGGATTTATCA